ACCAGATAACAAAGAAAAAGTGCTTACGCTTACTAGATCAGGGAGGTCTTCTGCCTGAGCTTAAAGACCACACAGTAATTCACGTGCTACTTGACTAGATCACTATGGACAATTCACCAAACGGAATCAAAAAATTAAGCAAATCAAATAACATGTGATCTATATGGAGTACTCGTTTCTGAATTAACTGACTTTATAAAATACTGCTGACTTCAGAATGCACGCTCCATACGTTTGCAGCTTTCATTACTTCAAAACTGGTTACCGGTTCGTGTTTACATATCCTTCAAAAACGCTAATATTTCATGAATTGCCCCATCCTCTGCTGCGGTTTCAGATTTGGATGTCGGGTATTCCATAAGGTATCCCGCGAAAAAAGAGATAATAATTGAGGAAATAACGCACAAGCATGATTAATCAAGAAGCTAATTTGATGCCCTATCCTAACATTCTTGAAATCAACGAACGTCATAGCTCGACTGTCCCAAGATTGCAAGGAAAATTGTCTCGACTAACATTCTGCGATACTCATAGGGAAGACCATATACTCCCGCAGGAGATAATTCAACACATGTAAAGTATTTGTAGACCTTAGTGGAGGATGTGATTGAGGAAAGAGATCGAATGTGAAAGGTGTTAGAATCAGCAGAGAAAACTGTAATGACAAGTGACAGAATTGTAATGTCAGGTAATATTGGACGGTAAGCTATAAGATGTGGCAGTAGGATTTGCCGTATTCAGTGTATTCTAATTTTTCAAGCAACAAACCTGTTCTCCGTTACTATTTACAGTTTCAGCACTTTTCTTTTATCCGCACCCCATTTCAACATCTCGAAAAAAACGATTTCTGCTTTCAATAAGTTATGGAGCCATTCGATAGCTCATATCTTGAAAATTTCAATAGTATGCTTGGTTTTGAAAAAAAAAACTTATGAACATGTTGCAGTGGGGCGCCGTGGTCGAGTGGTTGTATTGTTCGTCAAGCTGCGAGTGGAGGCAAGCTCCGCTCCCAACACTCCCGCAGTCAACAAGAACAACATATAGAACGCCATAGCAAGGGTATCCTCGAGATTGCAGGGGGAAATGCTCGACCAGTGCCGTACGTTATTCAAAAAGACTAAGAACGCGTCGAATGCTAGAAGTACTGGGATCCGCACAATAAAAAACTGTGATAACGGGTCGTGTAAATAAATATATAAATAAATAACTAACATGTTATAGTCCTAGAACAATTATATACCACGAGCGGGCATTTTCGCTAGACAGAGCTTTTCCCTACATTTTCAGCAATCACTGTATGCAGAAATCTCAGCAATTTCAGTGATGACTTGATTTTCGAAAAAGGGTTACTAATGCGCTGAGTAGGCAAAAGTATATTGGGTTTCGCACTCGGCGCGCTTTTTTGCTGCAGTATGTGGGTGGAATTTCGCAACAATAGCACCATTCCACTGCGCTTTGCAAAATAATGGTCATTTGGTAGCACAAATTTAGTTGATTCGGAAGCTAGGTGTGCAGAATCATTGTTCCACCTTTCTGAAGTCTTACGCTTTCCATTTTCATTTCATATTTCTAAATAAACCCGCTAATAAGCCTACTAGCAAGTCTAAGCTGCCTAAGTCTATATACGAAAAGCATACGAATGTGTAGAGGAAATTTCAGAGCAGCACAACCATATATTTTGTCCAAAACTTTCTCAAACTAAGAGAAAACCCCACATCTGATAAAACAAAGTCGCTCACCACATGTGGATCGCTCACACGCTTCGCCGGTGAGAAATGCTCGCCGAGTGCTAAATTCAGTTTTTTTGGATGTTGCAGCTCGATAAAAAGTTTTTTTGAAAAACCAGATACCATTAAATTTTACAGAGTTAGTCTATCTATTAGTTACTGAAAGTGTAAAAAGAAATTAGCTAGCAATCGTGCTCTTCCCTAATGGTTTGAATAGGATGTGGATAACGGAAATGATGTTAATCTCATTTTCACTGACAAAGGAAAACATTGAGGTGCTTTTATTTCAGGTCAATCTAAACTTTGTTATCCTCATTACTCGACATAAAGAAATTCGGTCCACTATTTTGTATTTTATTCGGACCATCATTCTTCGACGACCACCAAATGTTGCACATCTACAGCTGGGCGGTGCGATCAATGCTGTCAGTGTCGTGATGCCTGTGAGCCAACAACCATCGATCAGGCTCAAGACAATATTTGCAAGAAGATGTTAAGAATCTATACAGGTTTCTATCGTTCTAGTAGGCATCATCAAACGTAAATCTGCTAGCTTTTCACAGAAATACTCCATGAATTGAATCCATTTGTAGCATAGAAAAGTTACAGAATTAAATTTTCAGCATGTACAGTCATTTCGACATCCCAGAGATGTGAAAAATGCCAGTGTTTACATTCAGTCAGATCTATTGCACTCTTTACAGCGCTAAGAAGAGGGGCAAATCGTTTATTCTGGGAACGGGATCAGACCAATGAGCATATGTCTACTGGCAACACCTTTAGCTACTGTATTACATGATGTTCATTGTTGGTCAATGTTCGCTTTGTTTGTCTCTTAAATACACTTCAAGAAGTTCTGTAGAAAATTGAGATTTTTTATAGCAATCCATGGAAAACTTTCCTTTTTCGACTCAGTATTGATCACTTGCATCATCTTTCTCATTCATGAATGTCAAGATGCTAAAAACTTTTGTCCCGACCAGTTTTGTGGAGCACACTTTACATAAATCTCTTCTCTACATATAGATTTATTTATCGTGTTTCCGCAATCATTTCATTAATAGTCATGTATTCGCATCAGTATGTTCCTCTATCATTGTGCTATGACAAACAACATTTCTTCACACCAGTGAAAGCTTTAGCTATTTCATTCATTTACATACTAGATTTCCCTTCCAAAACATTATATAGTAAGTACGGTACTCTGCATGCAAAATGTTTTCCAACAGAAAGACTCTGTTTTTCGTGCTAAACAGCAAGCATATGAAAATGTTGTTAGATGGATAGAAAATGATATTCCTCTTCTTTTTCATGACTGCAGTACTCTCAACAAACAAATTTGCTTAGATTTTTTGATGGCCAGTACGAAAACATTGTTTGACTATTGGGTAGGGATGGTGTTGCCAGCTTTTTTCACTGTTTTTCCCTAAACTTTTTTCCCTCAAACTCATTTCACGAAGTCGACGTGTTGTCCAGCCATCCGTTAAGCTAATTCTTATTAAGTAGAAAACGAGAATTGGCACTAACTCATCTTAGTTAACGTAAATCGCTCAGTTTTTTCTTCTTCCTAACAAATGTGATATCAATGCTAAATCTGAAGGATGGTGAATATCGTAGATTGAAATCAAACTTAGGTTATCGGAGGGCACCTCTAACGCTTTACTGTGCACAAATCTCTTAGAGAATACAATTAAGAAATTCGTGTATAATGGGGAAAGTTGATAGCATAAAGCAAAGTGGAAAAGGAGGCAAACAAGCTTTCGAATTAAACTGGAGCATCTAGAATATGTTTTATTTGTTCATTTGAAAGAGCCGAGTTTACGTGAATAAACGATCGTATCAGTTCTTTCATTCACTTGTTAACATACATCCATCATCCATAAAGGTGTTCACGTATGCATATAATTAGGTCTCAGGTATCATGTGTTCTCCATCAACGCTGTTGGACGCTAGCCGAGTTGAGTTTTAGAGGTATCCTGTATTAGTTCCATACGAGGGCACTCAGATCATCATTATTAGGTGTACAACTATGGCCCCGCCGTTTTTTTTTTTCAAAAAAAGTAAAAACATATATATGCAAATCCTTTTTCTAGTATGAAAATGTGATGAAAACGCTATTTATTCATTGTTTTTATATACAAAATAGTTTATATGATGGTTTTGTAGGATTTCAAAGATGACGACTTTTCCGTTCGAAAAACGCCATTTCGGAAACTTTATTTTGGAGATTTATTGGCCAAAGTAATTGAAATTGCTCAAATTGGTATCGTCCAATTGCTCATTTCCTTGCGAACATTTTGATGGAGACAACTTGCGCATACTTGCTCTAAGATGGAGCTGTTGTGGGAACATTGTTCGATTGCTGCCCATGCACGAATGGCGCTTAGAGGAAAATGCTAGTGAAGCGGCGCACAAGATTAATGGAGCTTGAAGCAAACACCATCTTTAAGCAAGTATAGGCAAGTTGTCACTGTTAAAATGTTTACAAGTAAATGCGCAAGTGAACAATATTGAGGTCATGCAATTATGTCATCGCAAAGATCGTAATAAAAAATTAAAACGGAATGAAAACACTCGACTTCATGTTGCAAACGCCTATCAAGAGCGTAATAAAAGAGCTGAAGTGAGAGGTGCTCAAGAAGTTTCACTTCCTCTACCTTATTCTCCCGACATTGCATCGTCAGGTTACCACTTGAAATTACCAATTTCGAATTACAAGTTAGCAATTTTAAAAAATTGGCATTTTTGAGTACAAAAGTCGTCATATGCAAAGTCCTATAAAAAGCTTCACATGAATTTTTTGTATATAAAAAATATGATAAATAAATAGCGTTTTTAACATACTTTCAAAGAAAGAAAAAAATTTTCATATCTTCATTTTCACTGTTATTACAGTAGAAAAAACCGTGAAATCATATTTGTATATCTAATACATACAGTAATCCAACTCTGCAGATTGGGAAAGGCTTTTCCAAGACAAGATAACCGCCACTTTGCCTAAACTTGCCGAGTATGAAAATATTAGGACTTGCCTGGGCTCTGCTCAAAAAGCACTTCATCTTGATTAAGTGAAGTTTCATCGTTGCATAGTGAACAGCCAAGGATGTCACAAGTGACCTGCGATGTCATATATGCTTATGTCAAGACTTTCTCCGAAATTGTAATAATTTTACTGCCCTTTTCACAGTGTTATGATGTTACATATATATCTAAGAGAACTGAGTGGTGGGAAAAAACATAGAGACGCTGAAGAATAAGTAGTCGCGCAAATGTGCCTCGGTGGTGATGTGGTAGTATCCGTCTCCGGTATGGAGAAAACGCGGGTTCGATTTCCGCCTGAGGCCGTGTTTTTGTTCGCCACTCAATCCTCTCAAGACTTTCTCTAAACCAACAGCGCAGTTCAGTAAATATGATGCTGAATTATTGGGCAATTCTCCAAAGTGTGAAGTTTGCCTACCATACAAACAATTGCCGCATCTGGCATGTTCGATGTGCAGAAGCACCTCTGTTTCGTTTTGTCTTAATTTTCTGTCTTTTCGTGATCATTTACTATCAGCTCCTCTCGTAGGCTGACCGATGCTGAAACATGCAATGTGCAGAACTTGGATGCTATCAAACGCGCCTTATTGGACAATTTTCATTCTCAAAACCTACAGATTGCTGTTCGAAAAATGCGCTAAGTCATTTCATAACCATGTAAGCAACTTAATTGACTTTTCTTGTTATTCCAACAACATTATTGTCAAACTCACAGGTGCACTTAGCACAGCTTGAACACGCCAAAAATAAGCAGAACAGAAACAATAGCGGAGATTTTGTCGTACCAGAATAGAATAGGCAGAAGAAGAAAAGGGTAAAGGCTAACAAAAAGAGAGGTAGGATTGTGAATGAGAGATCACTTCTCCTTCACTTAAAAGCTTAAAACAAAGGGGTACGGTGTACCTTAAAAATCAATTAACTTATGGAAAAACAACGTTTCAGATACATTATGACGTGACTTTGATGACTATCATAAGCTTAAGACTTATAATTCTTGCTATAATGATCAAGGATTGATCACATGATTTGGCCAGATAAAAAATCTCTAAGTTTTTTCTTTGTTAACATCAGATCGTGTCTACTGAGAAGTTTCTTCATTTACCTACCTTTTTTCAACTAAGCCCTGAATATGTTCCATTGTCGTAAATGCGACATTAAATTGTAAAATTTAAACTACTTTGATTTTCGATTTCACGGGATAATAGTTAGAGTCTCCTTGTGAATATCCTCGCTTCACAAATGCTAAGCATCAGGAGTTGCTCGCTCTCCAACAAGCGGAATACGTTCTCTGCATCTAAGACACAGCCGAGATACCCGATATAGGCTGAAGCGATCTAAACGATTTTTATTAGATAAGAAATTCTTACTATACATAATATTAGCGCTAACAATCATCGTTTGAACTTCTTATTAAACAACACCGAAATGCACTGTGTGCAACTCATGAAGAGGCGACCATAATGCTACGCGTATCCAATGCCTTTTCTTGCAGCAGTTTACTTTTAAATGTCAGATCTTTGCCATATTTTTTGCTTATCTTGTGCAGCACATATATTTAGCTTACAATAACCAGTAGGGGTTCTACTCCCTTACTTAAAAAACCATTCTTCACAGGTAAATGACTGTATCTCTCTGCTATTTTATTTGCAATCATAACGGCGAATTTTTGCTTCCATATGGAATGGGAGAGTATAAAAAAAATTGGGATGGTAAAATACAAAACAGCTTGATATAATGGGAAAAATGTGGTTGAGTAGTAGAATATTGCACTAGCCGCAGACATCAAATACTTAGTGTAAAACAATAGATCAAAACCTTTCGTAAATCCTTAGTGTTCTCATTTTTTGAGGTGTTATAGCTGCCAATACGTTCGCTTATTTTCCAAACAACGCCATATGCCGTGCCTAGCTGCGCCCGCGCAAAGTTTGATTATTGGGCGTGTTAAGTGTAGTAAGTGTTCAACATTTTCAATCAGTTTGAATTCTTTCTATTTTGACTGCTACTTGCAGTGGTAGATGTTATAGTATACCCAATATGTGGAGTGCTGTGCAAAAACGTTTGCGTCAGCCTCGATTCGAACCCAGATCTCATTCTTTACGGGAGCGTATGCTAACCGCTGCACTACCGACGCTCGTTTTGCACAGCACTCTTATTTACACTAAAACGCGTTGTCTGCCAACAGCCAACCGTCGACGATCTGGTGGGGCAGCCGCTATCGGCATTGAACCCACTTGTGTTGACAGACGCTGGATATCAATAATCAGTCTAAATTCTTTCTATTTTGACTGCCACTTGCAGATGTATGATGTCTTTATCTTGAGTGCTTTGTTTAGACCACGCTCAAATTTCAATATATCCTTTCATCATTATATGAGCCAACATGTCATGTGGTCTGGTAAGGGCTCTTGTACAGCCCGAGACACGTGCTTCGTCCTTACAGACTCATCAGCCGGGCAGAACCCGTCGTCTGTCGAATAGTCAGTTTTCTCAGGAGCCTTACACTCCTTATAGAGAGTTATCGACGACGTACGCTTTACACTCTATGTCAAGTGAAACATTCACTTAACACAGTGTCTTGTACACTCGATTGCTCATTGGCTGGTATTTTATCAAAATTACACCTTTATCTCGAGTGCTTCGTTAAGACCACGCTCAATTTTCATTATATCCTTTCATCATTATATGAGCCAACATGTCATGTGGTCTGGTAAGGGCTCTTGTACAGCCCGAGACACGTGTTTCGTCCTTTCAGACTCATCAGCCGGGCAGAACCCGTCGTCTGTCGATGAAATTTGAGCGTGGTCTAAACAAAGCACTCGAGATAAAAGTATAATTATAATTATGATAAAATACCAGCCAATGAGCAATCGAGTGCACAACACTCTGTGTTAGGTGAATGTTTCACTTGACATAGAGTGTAAAGGGTGCGTCGTCGATAAGTCTCTATAAGGAGTGTAAGGCTCGTGAGAGAACTGACTATAAAAAGATCGACAGACGACGGGTTCTGCCCGGCTAATGAGTCTGTAAGGATGAAACGCGTGTCTCGGGCTGTACAAGAGCCCTTACCAGACCACATGACATGTTGGTTCAAATAATGATGAAAGGATATGATGTTATAGTATACCCAATATGTGGAGTGCTGTGCAAAAACGTTTGCGTCAGCCAGGATTCGAACGCAGATCTCACTCTTCCAGGAAAGACCACTTAGCTCGGCTATTTCCAAGTTCATAAGGAAAACCGACTCGACCACCTTTCACGACATTCAGAAACAAAACGAAATGAATTCTCGAGCAGGAGTCGAAGAAACGCACGAAATGTTTCAGGAATTTTTGAACGGAAAATAAGAAGAAACAAATCAAATATAGAAAGTGCCGCAACCCGTAATGTAGAAGTTACGGTGCATTATGTAAATAAGTATAATAGTAATAGTATCATTTAATCGACAACAGTGCTATTATTTTCACTCCCCATATTCCCTTTGAGTTCTTCATTGTAATTCAAAAGTGTTCAGAAAGAAGAGGCTGCATTCGCCACCTATAAACCACGCATGCCTCTTGGTTAATAGAACGAAATCCTTTCCGTAACTCTACCCAGTGCAAGGCTGTAACTATGAAGATATGTAATAATGGAATTGCTTGAAACTGCAAATATTTGTAACGTCATCACTTCCAGCTACTGAGTGAAGGCAGGTGGTGCAGTGTCAATGGAGCCACTCATCAAGAGCACGCTGCTGGTTAGACTCGGCTCTGGGCTCAACAGGCTTCTAATCCTCTTGGGATGGAAAATTTCCAACGCAGTGCCTGAGAATAGTTCACTCTGTGCAGTTCAGGTAAAAAACCCATGACGAGACTATTTTAGGACCCAATGGAAATTCGATTCAACTAGCACTCAAAGCCGGGAATAGTAGGGCAGACCTTAGGTAGCAGCCCAACCTACGCTCAAGAAAAAATTTCCAGGGCTCTTGTGGATGTGGAAATGAATTATAAAACTTGGTGGGATCCGCGTAGTAGATGCAAAAATGAACTTTTTGTAAAGGATCAGCACTCGGGTGATCAATGAAAGTGAAAAACTTTTTCACTAGTCTCAAAATGAGTACTTGCTAACGTCAAAAAATAGGAGATGCACATTTACTTGAAAGATTCTAAGCTCTTTAACACTCTTCTTTCTCCATAAAGTTTTGATAGAGTATACAGTTGATACTCACTTTCAATGTTGCCAATTTCGAAATTTTCACATCGCACTCAATCGGTAAGACAGATTTTAGGCGTTCAAACATATCGGCCAGATGCTGTACTCGATTCCTTTCTCTAGCATTCGCCTCCGACCTAAACAAGTTGTGGAATAAGTGCCATAATGCACAGGAAAAACTCATCTCTGCCTTTATGCCTTTTTTCTTATCTTACCTTCGGGCACTATAGATGACTTGTTGATTCTTTTCCATTCGCTCCGATTTCTTCTGCCCTTTCTGTTGTTGATTTTCAACAAGGTCATTCTTCACTTCGTCTTTCGTTAAAACCGACAACAGAATTTGCTGCTGTAGTAGCTTTATTAATATTTGACTGCTGAGGCCACACTGGATAGTCGGGCATTGCGAATTTTTGGTGAGCGCTCCAGATTTCCTATGAATGATTGTTTTTTATAACAAATTTGCTGGCAAAAAGAAAACCTTTCCAATGATAAAAATTGTTAGAAAAGCAGAATGTTTACTCTGTGGATATTATGCTGCATAAATTATGGATGGCCATCAAACTGTCCACACTAATGAATCACTGTAACGAATGAGACTGTGTAACTTGCACCATCTCTTCCTTTCTTTATCAAGTAACGTGGGCCATTGCTATTGAAACTGTCATTCGCTATCATATGACCGATCTATGCGAAGGCGTAATATTTTCCGTCAAGAATCTTCGTTGAGAATGTCGACCATTGAGTCGGCTGTGTTGTTGCTCTTCGCAAAACTCATGGAGCAGCTGCGCGCCTGCATCACTTCTAGAGGTCACTGAAAACGCTCATCACATTTGTTCCATGGGCGGAATATTTGACATCTTGATAAATGCAACAAAATCATCGACACATGATCGTCGACGTGAAAGGAATAATCAAGAGGTGTAGTCTTTTTCTTCCATCCTATTCTTTTGATAAGTATGACATCTCTAATAACATATTGTCGATTGAACGTCTGACTCTTCACTTTTGTCTCTCTAAAATAAAGAACCGACTTTCAAGAAAGAGCAGTGGAACGAACAGAAAAACGCCTAATTATCTGTTCTTCACTTAGTAGTAGATCCCCAGTTTGCGCTAAATG